GTGTGTGTGTGTGTGTGTGTGTGTGTGTGTGTGTGTGTGTGTGTGTGTGTGTCTTCACGTTTGGACATTTACAGCTGTGGAATGAGACAAAAATAGTGTCAGAGAGGATGATGGCTCAGGTTTATAGGAGCACTCTGCAGTATTGGCTTCCACTCACAATCCAGACACAATACTCTCAATCTTCGTCATCACTTTCACCTGATGATGAGGCATTTTACTTTTCTTTTCTTTTTTCACTTAGTCAAAAACACTTAAGTAACATAAAAAGAGAGTAAAGATTTCCCCTTCTGCTGGGAATGATTTTCTATGAATAATAATCATGTAATGTTTGTATTTACCAAGCATAGACAAAAAGTTTGTTAGTAAATGATTAAAAAAGTTTTCTTGTGAATTTGTTAAACTAGAGGTGTGTCTTTTATTTTTTTTAATGCTGGAGCAGTGACACTTTTAAAATGACAGAAATGGCTTCCTGGTACCGGGGAACGCTGTGAGAAGTTCATTTTTTAAAAATCTATTTGTTTGCAAGAACACTTTGCAACACCCGCAAAGATATGAGGCTCGCTTCCCTGTTTTAAAAGCCTCTTTATGACACTTTTCCATCTAAGAAAAATCAGGTAATAATGGAGTCCCGACTCCATTACAGTGATTTCTATTCTGTCTTCATGCTCACGCTGGAACTGTGTCTCTGTCAGATTGCCTGGACAGTGGATCATTCCATGGTCCGAGATGGAGAATGGAGCCGGGTGATTTGTTCATTCCCATTGACTCCATAGAAGAGGAAGCTACTCTGACTTGTGACGCAAAGGGAACACCATCTCCTCAGTACAGGTAGGAGCACATTCACGTTTAGGTTTTTATTCTTCAGGTTTTCAAAAATGTTAGTTTGGGGTTATTAAAATGGGTGAAAGACTGATTTAGAAATCATTATTTGCAAGATTTTGTTGGGTTTAACGTAGCAGTCATTTATAAGAAGTCGAGCTCAGCAGAATCCCAGCAGCTTAGCTGATCTCAACGTTCGCCAACATCAGCTGACAGCCTTGCCGATGCTCTTCCATACATTTAACTGGCAAATCTCACTTAGGACACACTATTAAAGCTGCTTTAGCCTGCCCACGTTTGCCTAATTCCCCAATGTTTGCACCTGCAAGGCACTTTGCAACCCGCCTGCACCCCATCACTTCGTCTTGTGCTGTACCTGACTTATTAAATGTCCCATCTATAGTCACTGATGCATGACTCTGTGTTGGGTCCCGCTTGTGCTCACTTCCAGCTTAGTACATTCATTCACTCATGGGAGTGAGATGCCAGAACACAGCTTTCAAATATAAACTGATGGAAATAAAGATCCAGCGTCCTAACTGAACTGCAGTTCAGTTAGCGCATTATCAACGCCGTATTGCTCTTTTGTTTAAAATAACACAGGCGGACTCGTTCTCCACCTCATAAGCAGTTACTTGCACTTTCTCCACTCTTTCGCTTTCATCACCGACGGTATTTTCTCAACTGTCAACGTCAAAAGAGGAGCTTGTTTAAAGTAAATGATTAGTTGAGCAAACATAAAAGCTGCATTGAGACATGATCGCAATCTAAATGGAAAAAGAAGATGAGGGAAAGGAAGAAGTGATGTACTCATCTGGATATTCTCAGTGACTTTTTACCCCAGAAAAGAAAAGTAATACAGATGCAGACACCTTTTTATACTCCTGGCTGCTCCCAGCTTGCCATTCTTGCAAAGCCAATTTAGATTATAGTTTTCATGTGGAAAAGCAAGCCGCTTTCCTTTCTATTAATTTTCTCCAAATTAGACTGAAATGCACATAGACACTCTGTGCAGCAGTGTCATTATGGCTTTACTAATTCATATTGACTAACACACCACCAATCTGCCTCTTGTCTTACCAGATAGTATCTTAGTGACACATGTGTAGCATCTTAATGATCGTCTCCTCTTATAAAACACAATGAGGCCGATGCAGGTTGCTAGACACCGGTTGGCACCAACAGACATTGATTACAAGTGTCTTTGGCGTTCGACGTTGGAATTACTGCAGCACAGCCGGCGCAGATGAAATGAATGACAGTGGTGTGGAGTATGTACATTCATTATTTCAGGCTCTTCACATTCCCCATCTAAGACCAGGTATTTCCATGTACTGATTAAAGGTGAGATGAGCATGTTTAACGGGGTGTCTTGTCACGCTGGCTGTGCTAGGCTCTGTATGCCCTCAGCACCTCTCTGGCTCCTCTCTTGAAGTGTAAATGGGCTCACACTGCTCTCTCCCATCCCCCTTCTTCTCTTTTCCCCCTTTTCCCTTTCCTCTGCCACTCCTGTCACTCACAGAGATATGAGACTTTCATACTATGCGCACAGCACTGATTTAAAAACTCGTGGGAGAAAATCAGATCTTCTATAGAAAAGCATCGTTGCTGCTGCAGGCTATAAAAGTTACACTGTGTGAGTGTCTTAAACGTAAACAGAAGGTGACTTGTCTACCCTTTACTTGACCTGAGGTTTGAAGTCTGTGGCTCTAGACCGGTAGATCATCCAGAATACTCGGATTTCTCTGTGGTCAGACAACATGTGTTCACAAAATGAGTTTCAAGCGGAGTAATTCAGTTTTCCAGTTGCCATTCAATCACCTGCCCTATGTTCGTGGCACCACTGAACAGCAGAGGCACTTCAGAGCAGGTCAAAAAGAGGTGAAAACGGTGGCTAAGGGATTAAGAGCTGAATGCAAGAGTGGACATGGACACCTACACAAACATGCAGGCATGTACTAGTCATTCCAGCCCTTTAGGTGTTCATCGTAAGCCACAAGAGTAATAGGGTTAACCTCATTGCATACAGTGACCAAGCTGCATGTGTATTGATCGGCCACAACATTAAAACCACCTGCCTGATCTTGTGTAGGTCTGCCTCGTGGCGTCAAAGCAACACGGTCCCCTCAGAGCATGGACGTGGGATTTCTGGGGAAGTCCTGGCATCAGGATATTTGTAATCGAGTCTTTCTTCGCCTTTTCGTCTCCAGCGACTTCATCATCTTGTTTATGTCTGTCTTTTCGCACAAATGTTTCTGTTATGCTTCCCTTTCTTGGCAAAGGAGATATTTTGCTTTATTTTTCAAAGTTACTTGATGTTTCTGAAACCAGTGGGCAGTTTTGCCTGCCACTTCAAGTTTCTGCCCTTTTTATTGCTTTGTTTCTGCAGCACAGACGGTTCATGAAGAGTCATATTTCATTAGTTTAAAAAACAAAGGTGTTATCGAGCGCTTGCTTTTTTTTTTGCTCAAGTTGGTGGGAAAGCTGTCAATCAGGCTGTGGTGTCAAATAAACAACCACTCTCTCCTTTCCAGGATGTCCACATACACATATACCATAGATGTGAGAGCAAATTGATCTGCCAGTCTGCATTCTGTGTAAGCAATCTATGTGCAGCGCTGTGGAAAGATTTCAGGCAGAGAGGCATTGGTTAAGTCACAAACTCATTGTGCAGCATGATAAACGTGCACTGATCAGCCATTAAAACCTCCTCTATTGTTTAGATGCATCAAAACAGCACTGACCTTTTTGGGCATGGATTCAGGACCTCTGAGTCTAGCTCATTGGTAGCAGATCCTCGAGGTCCGCTGGGTTAAGAGCTCTTATTGGATTGGGCATCCCACAGATGCTTGAACAGATTGGGATATGAGCCCTCAACTTTTCGAAATATTACCTGACGGAGGTGCATGTGAGAATGCAAATGTCCCACGCAGTGGGTTCTGGTTTGCACAGATTGTGAGAACAGCACAGATAATACCCTGGTGAATGCACAGCTAGCGAGCCCTATGTGCTGCCTTGTGGACGCTCTGCACAGGAAGATCTCTACTCTAAACCAAACTGAATATTTCCAGCATCGAGAACATGGCTGGCACGAGCGATCTCCATGTGTACTGCATGTGAGAGAAGACGGCATCTTCCAAGTACTGCCAACTTTTTCCAGAGTTAATGTGTGAAAACGATTTTTGTAATGCTCCCAAAATGTTCCCACCACCTTTTTTTTTAAATGCAGTGGAGCGCATTGCTGTACTGAGGCTGGAGGAAGCCACTGCAATTGTCATGAGTCTGCAACCATGTAAAGCATTAAAGTAAAATCCACATGAATTCAGTGATGCATTTTAACGACCAGTGTTATTCCGATGTTGATATTGTTGCACCTGATCGCTAATTATTCTTTAAGAATGTTTTCTTTTTCTTCTCTCTTTTACTGGGAAGCGAAACATATATGCTTTTGAAAAGTCATCCATTGTGTTTCCCACATGTCTGTTGCCACTTGTTGCCACTTAAGTAAAGCAAGAAAGGAAGTGTTTTGCTAAGTGAAAGAAAGGGTTATGTTTTTTTCTTAAACACAAACAATGGAACATTCTTGAAAAGTGCTCTGTCCTTGAACCCATCAATGCTCAGCTTTTGAATAGCATTTAAAAGGAGATAGAGTTTTTGCGGTGGCGGGGAATGAAAATGAATAATGAGACTTGCTTGAATCAATGAATTAACCTTAAGTTTTTAAGAGTTCTTTTAGGTGCTTCATTTATTTGATAGCACCGTCGTAACCTGCTTCACAGAGCTTCTTCTTTTTTTAATTCTTCCTCCTGCTAAGTGTTGGAAAGATATAATAAAGGGTGAAAAGGAGTTTAAAAGGCCTCCTTTGATACATTGAGCCATTGTTACCTCTTGCCAGGTGGTAATGTTTAGTCCTGATGGGGAGTCAAAGGTGGAATAATATCACATTATGTAAATCTAATGTGACAGAGACGAGGTGATTATGGTTAGACTGATGATCATTGTCCAGAATGGCTTCTAAAACCTTTGTCCTCCGCTCCCCTTAAATAGCGAAGGACAGCTTTGTGTATGATACCCCTAGATTAAACTTTAATGATCCCTGTGGGGAAAATGGGATAACTGCAGCAGCAAGTAGTAGCAGAGCTAAATAAAGAAAAATGGAAAAAATACAACACCGTAAAGAAATTTGCACTTCAAGGTTTATACAGACACAAAGGACATCTGTTAGGTGAGTAAATTAATGATATATAGACATGGCAGCATGATTACGGTACTGTTAGACTGCAGGTACAAAAAAATATGATTCGCTCAAGCAGCATACCGTCTCGAAAAACAAAGTACACTCTCTTTTATTCCTAAGGTGGTAAATTTCAGCAGATAATAAACTCATCGGGTCCTTATCAGCTTCTAAAGTTACTTAACTGTAGAACAATATATGATATATTGTTTATTTATTTTAACAAAAATAAGCTAAAATGCAGAAACATTTTGGTTTCTGCAAAATGTTTCTGCATTTTGGTAATAACTATAACCACAATAACATGAATGAATAGTTTTTTGCGTGACTTTATCAGTCTCTCACATTGTTGTGGAGGAATTTTGATTCACTCTTCTTTACAGCATTGATTCAGTTCATCAAAGTTTGTAGACTGTTGTTTATGCACAGCTCTCTTAAGGTCCCACCACAGGGTTTCAGTCAGCTTGAAGTCTGGAAGAGTTCATTGTCGACTCACTGACAGCTGGTTTGAGGTGTTTGTGCTGATATTCGGCGTTTGGTTTTCTCCAAATGTGGCACAGTGCAATGTGGCCAAACAACGGTCTTGCCTGTCCACAGGACATTGTTTCAGAAGTCTTGTGGTTTCTGCAGATGCAGCTTTGCAAACTTTAGCTGAGCAGCTGTGTTATTTTTAGGGAGAAGAGGGTTTTCTCCTGGCAGCTCTTCCAACCAAGCCATACTTGCCTTTTTCTAATTGAGTTGTCATGAACTTTAACTTTTAATGCTAACTCAGATGTTGCTTTGAGGTTTTTGCAGGTCACCTGTCTGACCTTGGGTGAATTTGCTGGCACTCCCACTCCTGGGAAGACTAGCAGCTGTCTTGAGTTTTTTCCACTTGTGAATAATCATTCTTACTGTAGAATGATGGACTTAAAATTGTGGGGGAATGTCCTTTAGACCCTTCCTAGTTTAATGGTCAGCAGCTTCTCCCAGATCACTGCTGATGTCTTTCCTCCTTGGCATTTTGCTAACACACACCTGAACTTTACAGACCAACAGACTGCCAAAAATCTTTCTTTTATAGAGGTGCTTACACTTGCTGATCATCACTTAATCAAGTGGACTGGATTAGCAGCACTTGGCTGTTTCTCATCCTCTTAATTCCTGGGGAATCAGTAAGGGTGTACTTAGTTTTTTCATGCTTCTGCATTTTGCTGGGGTGGGGATTTGTTTGTTTTTTTCAATATATAATGGCATGGCATAATGTGTCGTCATCTGTTTGTCTGAGCCTGTAGTAACCTTGTATCAACTTTGAATCAATTAATTTTCATTGTGTCCTGATGCACGAGCCTTAGAATTTAAAGAGGGTGTACTTTCTTTTCAAATGACTGCAAGCAAAGTTTATCAAGTTGATGCACAGAACTGTCCATAATTTGCTGGCAGTCACACATGTATCAACTCCATTGTCCTTAACCCTGAACACAACACAGTTGTGTTTGCAGATTTGTTTGTTTTTAAGGAAGTTTAATCACAGCCGAAAAGAATCGTTGGCCAAAGTCCTAACCACAAGAGTTCATTTCAACTAGCAACCTTTTAAAATCCTTGGCACCATCGCAAATCACACCACATAAAGTGTATTATTCTTATTCCAAGTGAGTTACCACAGTGAATTGTGTTCTCCACTCACCTCCTGTCAGACCACCTTGGTTGGATGGAAGAAGGGGACTGCGTGTTTTGCCAGGGACTGATGGTGTCTTTGCCCTCACAGATGGTCACTGAATGGGACTCTCATAAATCTGGGTCTGGATCGTCGGCGGCGTCTGTCTGGGGGCAACCTCATTATAAGCAGCCTGGACCGCTACCAGGATGTAGGGATGTACCAGTGTATGGCCTACAACACAGTAGGAGCTATCCTCAGCAGAAGAGCAAGTCTTCAGTTTGCCTGTAAGTTACAGTCAGAGTTTTAACTACAAAAAACCACGGGTGTGTAAATGCTCTTAACTACAAATAATGCAGACGTACACTAAAATGGAATTGCTTTATTTGCAGTATTTATCAGCACGCAGCAAGTTCAGTGGGGAGCCGCATTAAATGTTAACGTAACATGGGAAGAATCTGAGTGCGATGACGCTTCCTTACTTATGGTCATGCAGACTAAGAGTTGCTATTTCACTTTGTGTTGTTTGCTTCAATCAGAAGTCATTCCAGTTTCGTTGCATGCACTCTGGGGTAAAGTAGTCTACCAAATTGCACAAGTAGTGTTTGAAGAATAACTTAATAAGGACTGGAGCCTGAAGAATAAAAAAAAAGAACAGAACACAGCATACCTGCACTTTTATGAAAAAGGAAGAACAAAGCAAATGAATATAAGCTGCAGTGCAAACTATACTACAATGCATTGCTACAAAAATAATAATTTAGGCAGTAAAAAAATGTACTTTCACATCACGTTCCTGCTGGTGAAGCAGGTAAACAACTCAAATGAATAACCAAATGAATACTTATTACTTCTATACTATTCATTAAGGCTTCCTTTCATGCAGATCGCAACAAAGCGCCTTTTCACACCTTCACTCGGTGGTGGTATCTTGCCGTGCAGATGTTTTGGGTCTTTTTTGACAAGCTTTTAAGATATGGGATGGTCAGAAAAAATGGAATAATGACATTTTAATAACTTAACAACAATGACTTGAGAATAATGACCGGATAATGGATAATCTAACCTCTCTGAAAAAAGTTTGAGTCATTTTATTAACCTTCAAAGGAGTCTCCAATGAAAAACTATAGTTCTTTTTCTTTTTCAGATTCTCTTAGCAATATTTGGATGCAACACGAAAGAATAATAACAAGAAAAAAATATTACTAGGTACATATACCTTAAGGTGTAGCTCAATAAAAAGTTTTCAGTCGTTTCAACTTTTTTCTTATAGTGTTATGAGCTCTTGCAGCATATCTCGTCATGGTATATTAATGTCTTGGTCCCCCTCAGGCAGTTTTTGGGCAGCTATTTTGAAACCACTATAAAATGAATAGAGAGAGATCCAAAAGTTTATTCTTACAATGGACAAACTCTACCTTGTAAAGCACTGATTTAAGAAAAAACTGTAAAGGTTGAAGTATGAAGTTTATAAAGCCTCAAATTGTAATTCTGCTTGGCACATGCAAAGTTGCACAGCCTTACAGACTTCATCACGACTCAATTCAGAGTGCAGATGTAGCGAATGGCTCTCGCTAGTCCCACCAGAGCCTTGAACATATGCCAGGCTAATTTACACGATTCATACAGAGGCTATGAACCGTCATGAACCTCTTCTGTGCACGAGCCGCAGTTCAGCAACATGATTGGCTCGTGTGTTTACCTGTTCGGCCATCTCTGCTGCTGCGGGATAGATTTCTATTTGAGATTCTGTGCTAAGTCAAGTCTTGTGATTTCAGCGCTTACACAAACATGTACATAAATTAAGTTAGTGGCAGGTTTTCACATCCAAGTTCCTTTTTTTCATAAAATGGCATATCGCTCATATCTCATTCAGGCCCTGGGTTCAGCAGTCTGTCTAAACTCTTCTGTTTCAGAGCCTCACTTGTCTCAGTTGCTTTTGTTCTCCCTCAGGCCTTGCAGAAGTGCAATTTTCATTACAGCTTTCTTATGGGTTTGTGTCAGTGTCTTCAAGAAAGCTTTTACTCAGCCTCTTTTCCACTCCCCTGATATGTGACATCCTACAGTAAGCTTCCTTTTCATTTTTCCCCTCCCTGTCAGACTTAGATCATTTCAAAGTTCACACCAGAAGCGCAGTGTCCGTCCGAGAGGGACAAGGAGTGGTGTTGCTTTGTGGATCGCCCACTTCCTCAGGAGGTAAACTCTGCTGTTGTTTTGAGTCCTGCTGAAGTGTGATTAAAACATAATCTTGCTGCCACTGATTAGCCCCTTTTCTAATCACAGTTAATTCTCTTAATCACATTTAATATCAGAGAGCATCCAGGATCGTCTCATGCGCTTCCTTGTTTGCCTTCCAGACCTTACTTATGCATGGATCTTCAATGAGTACCCGTACTTCGTTCAGCAAGACAATCGGCGCTTCGTCTCCCAGCAGACGGGAAACCTTTACATTGCCAAGGTGGAGCCCTCTGATGTGGGCAACTACACGTGTGTAGTGATGAACAGCATCACAAAGGGCAAGGTTCAGAGCTCCCCCACGTCTCTGATCCTCAGGACAGATGGTAAGACACAGCTTGTGCCTTTGACGTGACAAGTATTGCCTTTCAGCCTCGCATTATGGGCCTTTCATTTTAAGGTGGCTTTAATCATTACGCCAGCGAGAGTGCTCTTTATCTCGTTGTACCTCACTGAAGTTGAGTCACAGAGGGCTAATGCCTGTAAGTAAACAGTTGCTCCTCAATGTAGGCCAGCAAACAAAGCACCCAAATCTCTTCTTTGCTGACTTAGCTTCTCTTATAATTCGCAGTCCCTTTAAAAGCTTTCTCTTTGCTTTCACATGAATTCTCGGGCCTGTTCTCAGCGGCGTGTTGTTCTGTTCTCTGTTATGCTTTCATAGAAGGAGTGAATAAAGATTGCCTTGGGAATGAATTAAACATAAGTCATACGTCAGTGGACCATTACATTGAGTGTTCTGGTGGTTCAGCCAGTTTCTACTCAGTGTACTGTACATGTAACTGCATAAATTTAAATCCCCTTGCATCACTTTCTGGTCGCGATCTTGAGTGCCTTTCCTGAATGCTGATATTAACAATGAAACACAACAGAGGTTAGGAACTGCCTACTCAAGCTTTGAAATAGCAGATTAAAAAAAAATCTCTAGATGAAAAATAATGCTCGGTGTATTTAAATTATTCCTCGCTGGGTTTTGGCTACACTCTGGTGACTGTACTCTTAAGCGATGCACGATTTTGAGTTTAGTTTACCCATGAGAGAGCGTTTGCTCATGTGCATTTCATTTTTTCCTCTGTTAGCTTTCTAGTGCTATTGTTTGGTCCATAATGCCAGCCGTAATGCTTGTAACTCATGCATAATGGAATACTGAGCAAGTTCTTGTGCTTGGTCCTCATAGGAGTGATGGGTGAATACGAGCCGAAAATAGAAGTTAATTTCCCAGACAATGTACCCGCCGCGAAAGGATCAACAGTTACGCTGGAATGTTTCGCCCTTGGGAAGTAAGCTGGATTTCCTCAAGCATGTTTTTAATCTTTTACTGTCTTTTCTTTCCATACAAGGAACATCTGGATTTCTAAGCAATTATGGTTCTTAGAGCGTGGCATCAAGCCACGATTGGTCTGAAAGCAACGTGTCGTTGGAATGGGTTAAGTCCAGACCAGGGATGTCAAACTCATTTTATATCCTGGGGGCACATACAGCCCACAGGAAATCTGTCAACATGACTCTTTGGGCTTAAATTATAAGAAATAGGTGTGTGAAATTATCATAAATTATAAAACAAAGGTTTTGTCAAGAGAATGTCTTTTTTTTTCTACTCACCCATTGTAAATAAAGACATTTCTGTAGCAGATAAGATCATTTAATTGTTTATCTGTTACTTCATTACTTGTTTTAGTATGAATGACAGTGGGGGAGGTCTTCATCAGTGGGAAAAGCTGTAAAATGTATAAAAATAAAGTTAAATGTCTCCAAAGATTATTTTCCAAAACCACTCAGTGGGCCAGATTGGAGTCTTTGCTGAGCCAATCTGTTTTGACACCCGTGGTCTTGACCATTTATCAGCAAAACGAAAAAAATAAGTTCTGCAGTCCATCTGACGCTTTATTGCTCCAGATTGTTACAGACACCTGCACCTGATTCCCCGCTGAGCTCTTCCTTCGCATGTGTCTCACAGCCCCGTCCCAGAAATCACCTGGAGGAGGGCCAACGGCGTTCCCTTCCCCAGCAAAGTCAAAATGAAGTACTCGAACGCCGTGCTGGAGATTCCCAGCTTTCAGCAGGACGACACGGGCGGTTACGAGTGCGTGGCCGAGAACAAGATGGGGAAGAACACAGTCACCGGTCGGCTGGCTTTTTATGGTACTGCGACTTTTGTTTGAGTTTTGAGACGACGCCACAGACAATTGAGTTAGACAAAATGGGTAAACAATCAATATCTCTGCTTCTTTCAGCAACGTCGACAATTGTCACGTCGTTAGACTTTGTAAATGGCAACAATTGTAATGTGATCGTTTAAAAGCTATAAGTAATTTTATAATAGCAAGAGCTCATTGTTATACACGCTACTTTAATGCACACACAAATCTCTGCCTTCTTCCTGCATTTTAAGCGTTTCACTGCAGCTATTACATTTTGGGTTCTTGGCTTGCTTCAGCCGCTGTGTTTTCCTGTGAATCTGTGAAAGAGGGAAAAATGACACTTGTGAAATTGGAAGTGACAGTATGTACAGTGCCACCGAAGTGAGCTGTGCTTATTATGAGCATTGCACTCATGAAACCCATGAAATTTCCTGAAAGCTGTAAATATATGAGAGACTTAGGGGGGGTTGTGTGCTGGATGGGAAACAAGCAGGACCTGACGTTTATTATACGCAGAATTAAGGTGACAGTTTGGGGGGGTGAGTGCTGGTATCGGGTGCTGTTCGCCGGTCATGAGAGCTTCTTCCTTTGTGGTTCGGGGTTTTAATGTTAATCTTTGGGTTGCCTCGGGCTGCTGACACATTTAAGAGATGTAACTGATAGACTGAATTCAATTTTCTCTCTTCTAGCCTCTTAAAGGAAAACCCATTGACGACCCCCCCTCCCTAATTTGGGCTGCCAATCTGCACACGCTTTCCTTTGAACTTATTTAGATGCAGCTTATTTAATACGATAATGCTCCTTCCTCGAAATCTGCCCTCTGGTTCTTGTCAGATAATTCACTCGAGGATAATTCTGTGTCCTCAGCAAAGCCTCAGTGGGTCCAGACAATGAAAGACACGGCTCTAGCCATTGAGGAGAGACTTTACTGGGAGTGTCGAGCCAACGGCAGGCCCAAACCCTCCTACACGTGGCTGAAGAACGGCCAACAGCTCCTCTCAGAGGTAAATTACCGGCTGTCGTCTGCCACCTACAAGTGTTTCATTTTAAAGACTTAATCTTCAGCTTCAGCTCTTCCTTTCATTTCCGAGAGCCTGGCATAAAACACACTGCTGTTTTCCCGAGTGTAATTCAGAGTGCGATGAGAGGAGAGGGTAAACATCTTACTAAGGTGTGCCAGTGATGAGACATGGATGTAACTGTCTCGTATTCTGCTTTACCTTGGCAGATTACAGAGTCTTAGAAAGTGGATGTGTACGGCTCCCGAGAGATTGCTCTATTTTATCTGAATGGAGTCAGTGCTTGTTTTTCATTATTCATGGTGCATGTTTAAGCTCCTTCATATTGAGGGACAATGGGTTTAATCTTCTGTGAAATATACTGTATATAGCACTACACCTAACTCTAGACCACCAGAGAAATACATGTGGTCTTGCATATTTTGAGATTTTTAAATTTGGCTGACCTCGATATGCCTCTGACACTTAATTTCTTACCTCTTACATGCATTATACTGTAGCAATAACCATCCTGATATTGTTCAAAACTAATGTTTAAATATCCTTATTTTATTTGAGGTTTATTGTTTTTACTGTTGTACGATTCAGAATATGATTTTCACCATGAAAGTTGCATTTTTATCTAATTTGTTTCATATTTATAGTACAGAATATAGCTAATGATTAAAAAAACACTAGTAGGTGCTGTACTGTATATGGTTAATACTGAGAAAATAAATGAAAAAGTGCAGATATAATACAAAAAGCTCAAATATTGCATAGACTGGACCAAAAGTGCACAGGGTAGGGAAAAAAATGAATGTTCCATACTTAGAAAACAAAATTGTGCTTTGTGCTCATAGCGATAAATTATTTTGCAACAGCATCCTGATTTGATCCGCGTCCATTGACAGCACCTCTAAACAAATCCAGCACTTGCCAGAGCGCGCCGCAGAAAGCAAAAGCTACCTGTAAGTGTAAGGAGAATAATTGCTTTCTTTCAACCTTTTCTTCACAGGACAGGATCCATGTGGAGGACGGAGTCCTGTCAGTGTCTGCGCTGACCCTGTCTGACGCTGGCATGTACCAGTGTGTGGCTGAGAATAAACACGGTGTCATATATTTTGCTGCTGAACTAATGGTTTTAGGTAGGATGGCATTTATCTCTCTTCTAAATCCTCAAATCTTTGTTGCCAAAAGGATCTTAAAGGTCATCTTTCTGTCATTCTTAAAGGTTGTCTGGATTAGCAGATAATGGGGTCAATGTGGATGTTTTTGTGGGGTCAGACACATTTAGATATATATTTTTTTCCCCCTTTACTTTGATGTGGGGATGAAGATGGTGTAATAGATGCCAAACTCATAGCTGAATAGTAAACATGAACTTTTACTGCAAAACCAATTAAAAGTTATAACAATATTTTCTGCTCAATTCTTCTTCTTTTATTAATACATAAAACTGGCTAAAAAAACACCGTTACGGCGTCGATTTTTATGCCGGTTTGATTCGTCAGTTTTAAAAAACGATGTGTTTCAATTACTGTAAGATTTGAAAACTGGTGCTTGAAATGCTCAGTGAGATTTGCTGCAGTCTTGCACTAACGCCAGTTTGCTGTTTCCCACCAGCTTCTCCTCCAGACTTCACAGGGAACCTCCTCAGAGCTTTGCTCAAAGCCAAGACAGGAACTACAGTGACTTTAGAATGTAAACCCCAGGCCTATCCCATCGCTAGCATTTTATGGAAGAAAGGCAACCTGCCAATCCACACAAATGACAGGTAGTAACAGGGTTAACGTTATTCTGAAAAAGTCAATGTACACAGTTTAATAGGCTTGTTTTTTTCCGTATATAAGCCAGTTATCTATCCCAGCTACACTCCTCTTTAGCCATCTTTGGTCTAATCAATATTCACCACACACACACACATGCTGCCTAACTGGAAGATGTCCATTATGTAGAATGCTGAAAAATCCAGAAGTCGGTGTTTATCTGATGGTAAAATGAGTCTTTGTTCTTGGCAGTCGGATTGTAAACTGCTCTCACTGTTTGTGTACTCCTATAGGATCACACTGTCCCCAGATGGAACGCTGAGGCTTGCCAACGTGAGCAAGTCTGATGCAGGCAGCTATACGTGCTTTGCTAGGAATAGATTTGGCATGTCAAGTACAACTGGAAGGCTCCTTGTTACCGGTAAGCTCTCCTGTTAAATAGCAGATTGTTTGTGCGCTCCACTTAGTAAGCAGAATTTTATGCACACTATGGATTAACACACGAGAGCTAGCGTACCGCAAGGACCAGAGTCAATAACTTGTAGTTAAATTTAAAAAAATAAATAAATAAACTTTGAGGTTTTGTGCTGAGGTGTGTGTCTATACTTTGTAAGGTCTCTAGTCTTGCGATTAAGTAGACTAAATATTTCAGATAATCATTTGATTGTTTTGTTTTTATTTGAAGGGATGTAATAAAAACAAAAAAACTTTACGCGTGCATTATTGAGTCGTTTTGTCCGGACGCATTTTGCAGCGGCTGCAGTAATGCGCTTGGAAGGCGTTTGACGAAACACACGATCATTGTTTTCCTCAAAGCAGTTGAGGCAACCAATTTAGTGCAATAAATGAAAGTGCCCTGAGTGGAAGCGGTGAGCACATTAGTGAGGTGGTGTTACAGATGCTGTTATTGTTGAGCGTGTTGTTGTTTTTTTCATTGGAGTTGAATGTTCTGTGAGTTTGTTATTGGTTTTTATTAATGTGCTGAATGATATTGTCTGCCGCTGTAACTGCCAAGGCCAGTTATTTTTTTTTGAAATTACCGGAGTATTTTTTCACAGCCGTAAAGCATTCGGAGGCACAGAGCCATGACCCACACATTGATTATTAGTAGCTTGAGAACTGAGGGGACGCTTTTTTTATCCCTTGACAGCTTCTCCAAGGTAAGATATGAGAGTACAAATCCACTTGCTTTGTGTTGTATCTTCTTGATTTGATTCCTGCCGTTCATTATCTTGACTTTTTGAAGCACAGGAGGCCAAATGATTGCTATAGCAGACTTTAAAGCAGCGCTCTTCATGTTTTATTTTTTTTTGTTGTTGTACTGGTTGTGCAGAGCAGCTCATTACATGAAGTTTTATCTGATCCATGGTGTATTGTAATTGCTATCAGGATTTCTGAAGATTACGTGAGCCGTTTTAGTGGTGGCAAGGCTGCATGTTATCACACATTATTTGACTGAGTTTTTCATGAGACCTTCCTTTATATACACAGACTGCTCTGCCTGTGACTCACTGTATTGCGGAGCATGATTTTTGTGTCTCGGGAAGTGTTGTGTCACTACTCTGCTCCTATTTCCTGAAAATCAACAAAAGGGCTGCTCATCTGCTGGAAGTGAAAAGTCTCATGTCTCACATAAGATTGCCACCCTCCCCTTTAGAAATGGCTGGCTCTCACGTTTTTATTTTTCCTGGGTAGATCCAACCAGAATCATCCAGGGGCCAGTGGACACAGAGATCATTGTGGGCGAGAGCATTGTGTTACCCTGCCAGGTCACCAGCGATCCCGTCCTTGATGTTTCTTTCTCCTGGGCCTTCAATGGACAGCTCATCGCCAAGGGAGACGGTCACTTTGAATTTGTGGGTGGGGTGAGTGACCCACAGCCGTAGTTTTTTTGTTTTTGTTTTTTCTTATGTGCGAATGGGCACTTGGCACCTCTCCCCATCTTGCTTCACTTCATCCCTGCCATTAGTTTAAAGGGACAGCTTGTGGTTTGACACCCTGGTATTTCTTGGAGAGATAGAGCATGGCAAGTTTTGCTGCACTTGCTGTTATACCATCCTTTTTCTTTTGCTATTTTAAATTTCTCTCTGGTGGCAAAGAAGGCTGGGGAAAAGTCTTTGGAATGAAGCGTTATTAGATCATTTAAGACCTCTTAGCTTCTAATTGTATTCTTGTGAATGGAAGAATACAATTTAGTGGCAGCCGTCGTGTCAAAATACACTTCCTACATAGAAATCATCATGTAGGTAATGCGCTAGTTGCTCAGCCATTGTGACAGGTTGTCTTCTATTTGAGCACACTTCTCTTACTCTTGCTCAGTCTTCTGAAGTCATCTATTTTTTAATACGTTGGCTGGTCTCTTCAAATTCTGCTTTGACATGGCCTGCTGCACAGCCTCTTCATAACGGGAAGGAATACGTATTATTAGAGGTGCCTTGTAAAGGAATCAAAGCATGGCAGAGACCCAAACGACAAAACACTTTGAGAACATCCTCGCACCCTTTGAGATTAACCATTCTTCTTGGGTGTGTGTGTGTGTATGCGTTTGACTGACAATGTTCTTATCTGAAAAGAGACTCCTTCCCCAGAAATGCTCAAATGTCCCCAGTCCAAAGAGATTATCAACTTAACTTTGCTGCTTCAGGGAATTTAATTTCCATAATTAAACCACATTGGCTGTGCTGCCACGTTTTCCTGCCAAAGCCAAGAGAACGATTTCACCACTAATTTACCATTTTCTGCTTACGGGTGTCCTCTTAGATGAGAGCCTTTTCTTTTCTTTTTTTTTGTTTTCTTCTCCAAATGAGCAAAAGCTGCCTGCTGTACTCAGTAGTAAAAGCTTATTTATGTAGTTGCTTGCAACAGGTCTTGAAGGTCACAGCACTGACCTCTGCAAAAGGCGGGTAAAGCAGTCGAGACCTTGTCATACACAAAAACTCAATTTACTCTCTGTTGTTTTTGTGAATTTTGGCCTTTTTCTTTTCCATTCGAGCTCATGTTGAACAGCTGTTTGTGACCTGATACTGTATATACACAGAATTTCTCCCAGAAACACTGTGCAGCCACTTTTCCTCAGCAATTTCCAAGCTAAGTACTGTAACTAAAGGATATGCAAACGGTTTTTAGAGCTGCTATTTACTGTGTCTTTATATATGCTTTGCTACCTTTTTTAATAAGCTGTCACGAGGTCCATTATCTTTCATGCTACATAAAGCTCTCTTTCCTCCTTCGGTAGAGAACAGCAGGAGATCTTATGATCAGGAACATTCAGCTTTACCATGCTGGCAAATACATCTGTGTGGTGGACACGGACGTGGAGAGTCTATCAGCCGTGGCTGTATTGATTGTGAAAGGTAAGAAAAGCTCGTCTCTGCTCTGCAGTCACCAATTAAAATAGGGCTTACAGCCAGGGATGTTTAATGGGTAAAAAAAAAAAAGGGAGAGAGAGAAATTAAAAAAAGTAGACTCAACGTAAAGTGGATGATGGATGCAGCCTCAGTAAAAGGAAGTCAGTAGTCTTTAAGTGTTACTGAGCAGAGCAGTGTTAAAGAGATTTCAGAGAGATTACATCGCTATGCTTTGCTGAGAATTAAAATAAAAAATCTTTTGAGGCGTGCAGTTTTCGATAGGGTTTTTAAACTCAAATAGGTTTGTTTTAGATTGAGATTGCAGTGCAACCAAAGTGTCCATATTCTCATCAGAATCACCCTGGATATCATCAGAGTGTTTATTTCTACTACAAGGCGCTTCATTACATCAAACAGAGGAAGGCGCTTTCCTTTTCTCTGGCGCTCAGAGATGTTTTTGGAAGAAAACTTCACAAAACTGTGTGAAATTCTAAGAGTACGAGCCATACATTTTTTAGGATGTGTTCCTTTTTCTCCCTCTCCCTGTCTTTTAATGACCAGTTTTCAATATTGTTGCAGTGTACTTGACAGCAGAATGCTTACATGCCTGTCTGCGCTCACTCATGCAGTATGTATAGCTCCTGAGAGACATTATTGTCGAGAGCTACATTTGGCAGAACAAAATAACTTTTGTTATTTATTTCAGGGAGGGGTGTGTTTGTGTTGCTCGTGGAATTGGAGGAGGGATGTTTCGGGGTGGAATCAATACACCAAATAGCCCAGCAAATTGACACCACCCAAATATGCTAAATGTCAGATGAGGTGAGGGATGATTTTAGTGTCAGGATTTGAAAAGGTTGAATCCATAGCTTTATCTTGCAAGGATAACAAGTTGCTATTTAACTTGAGGCGCAGAAGCTCTTCTTAATAAGCATTTCTTTACGAATGACTGCGGACAAAGAAAAATGGGAAGTAATGCTGTTTATCCAGCTGGAGCAATATCAAGTCCAGGGAAATGGATTGGCCTCCTGACTGGAGACAGGAGACAGGAGTGTGACTCAAGATTGTGCATTATTTACACTTCCTGCTCGCGGCAGCTGTCACAGATGTCTCAAAGTTTAGATCGAATAGCTTCAAATTCTGGGTGGAAAACACGACATAAACCATTCAGCAAGAAAACGTTGACATCCCAAAATACAAAATATTAACGCAACACGTGGAGTAGAAACCAACAGATAAGAGCCGGTTTTCAAATGCACCTTTTACATGGGTGAAAGCAGCAATGCAGTGATGATAAAATAGTCAATTTAAGAAAAATATCAAAACTAACAAATAAAAAACAGTTGCTTGACAGAAAAATGGATTAATGACAGTTTTACTGTCAAAGCACCAATGTGTATATGAAGTAGATGTATTTGAAGTCATTTTCATGGTAACATGGGGCATTAAATTCATTTTCATTTTCCAAAAACGGTGTATTTCATACAGGTAAGACTCACCAGATATCTCATGATACAATATTATCACAACACTTAATGCACAATCAAATATTATTATTGCAGTATGAGCATTGCAATAACATATATTGTGAGTTATCAACATTTTTTTGAACTGCAAATGATGTCCTCAAAGTTAAACTTTGTCAATATCTGTTTTTCCAAGAAGATAAAGTTATCACGCTGCAATTTTGTTTTTGTTTTTGTTTGTTTTTTTAAGGCAAAATTAGATCAAGCATACCAATCAAAGTACAACATTCAACTCTTTGACAGAGACTCATTCACACTGATGGCAACATGTTACCAATAAGACAGCAATTAATTGCAAACCTTTGACATTCTTTCTGAGAGTGATTGCAGTCACTCCAAATCAGACTGCAACTGTTTGCAGAAAGGTTACCTCCTATCAGGCAACCTGTGCAATCACTTTGCAATCAAAATGTGTAGTGAGTGTGCAACATTGCTCTGTGCAACCATTTAGTCACCGGAAGCTGAAATCAGTCCCAGAATGTGAAGAAAATTCAAAACAAACAGCTGGCGGCTGCTTTTGTTAATTTTTAGATGTAAGCATGACTAACTCAAGATTTTAGTGCATGAAATTAGCCCTTTTGTATATAGTATTCACAGAATATTCATATTTATGTAATAAAATATTGATATTTAGTGTCCCTGCATCGATAGAGTATCATAATACATGTCTATGCTAGTACTTGAGATTTTTTCTAGTCTTTGTTTTTTGGGGGGAAATATAGGATAACATGCCTTTCTGGATGTCCTGCAGTTTAGGTGTTTGTCTTCAAACTGTTGTAGCTTGTAGCTATGTGTTATTAAATGAAAAGAGGTCATTTGGAAGGAAAGGAAATGTAGCTCACAGGTGTAAGTATTTACAGTTTGATCAAATCTAATAAGAACTTTAGAGCGGAGGCTCAGATGAAAGTAGAAGATAGTGACAGGACTAAACCCTGATGATGGTGGAGCAGAGTAATCAGATGAGTTCAGTTAAGATACCCTGGACAACTTGTGGAAATGGAAGAAGCATTTGTGATAGACAGGCTGCTGACAGGCAGAGTGAGAACAGTGTCTCCGGGCTAATTGGGCAAAAGTAGTGAGTTGAAATTGAGAAAGAGCTGAGTTTGACAGCGTGGGAAAATGAAAGTGACAAAAAAAATAGTAGTAATAGTCCAAATCAGTAAGGAGGAGCAGAGGCTCCCTTATTGAACTTATAAAAAAAGATTATTTCGCATTACATTTGAAATGTAGCACAGTTCTTTTTTTTTTTAATCATTCAAAGAGGCAATTAAAGAATAAGAACCTCATTATTTAAATAAAATTCACAACTAAATGCACTGTCTGCCACCTCTCATCTTCCCAGAGAAATTGTCCTTGTCTGTCCCTGATTTTAATTGAACTAATTTGTCTAAAGACACTGTCCCATGTTGTGAGCAATATTTAAAGCAAAGACTGAATCTGCTGTTTGGTTTAGTTTTTATGTTTTTTTTAAAGAGTTTTTTCTTCCAATTTAAATTCACTCCCCTTTCTTTTGCAAAGGGTGCCGAAATGTTAGAGATAAATAGCTCAAAACCTTGACAAATAAGATCAAACCATTCTGCGTGGCTGTATAATTTAAGAGGAAGGTGAGGAAACATGAAAGCGCAGCCAGCTTCCCCCAGTGGCTGCATTTGCATGTTCTTAAAAAAAAAAAAGAAAAATCTATTTTAATGTTAAGACAAACAACAGCAAGACGTCTCCTTTCACCGGGATTCTGCAGCAGCACGTTTACGATCGTGGTAACAGTGATCGTTGGCGTTACTGGCATCAAACATATTGTTACAATCATGTATATTAGTCAGCTCGATAATTTTGCAGGGTGTTATTTACAATGGGGTTTCGCTCCTTTCCTCTCGCAGCGCTGAAGGTCAATGATAATCGCTCCTGACACAAAGACTCTTGAGTGATCATCTGGGTTCTTGTTTTTCACAATGGGTGTGGAAAAAAACCCCGTTTTAGATGCCTCACAAACACTCCACTGGGTGGTGATGGTGGCTCTGGAGAAGGTCACAATATAAGGATAATATCACAGTCATTAGCATTTGAACCACTTGGGGAACACTTGTGCTTGTTTGACAGCTGCACAACCACCATCATCATCATTATCCCGAGAGATAGTTTTTAGGGAAATACAACTCATGACAGTCAATGTAACACTTCAGAACGATGTGTTTTCACACTGTTATTTCGACCCGCTTATGATATGCTCTTGTTTAGTTCTGGCACGTGTTGCAGCACATTTTGAGAATTTGGGAAATATTTGGTTGAGATCGGAATAATATCGCCAGTGTCAGTAAATACAGCCGGTTATTAATTTTCCCTCAGACAAGTTCACAATGAAAGCTCAGATAGTCTGTCCATATTAATAACAGATTATTTGAACACCCTCGAGACATGACAGGAGCCTCTTGCCTCAGCCAATGAAATGTAATTAAGAGGATAAGGAATTGATCTTTGATTGTGTGTCCTATTAATATGTATTAATGAGGCCAGTGTATTAAAGTTGCTTTTTTTTCATCAATAGCCACTAATGAGTTTTACAGAGATCAATATCTCTAAAGCCACGGTTTTAAGGCCAAATGTATGAGGGCAGTAACGTCCAAGGCTTCAGTAAACAAAAGGATGTCGCTCAGCAGTTACTTGCTCAGCTTAATCCAATATATCCTTGCATGCATACATAGACATATACATACATGCTGCAGGAGATATGAAAACAAAAGGATTTGTGCTTCCAGACAGTTGATTGTTTACTAAAATAATCATGCTACACTTTAATAATTAGTATATTTTGCTTCAGATTAGAAACCACTTCAGAGCTGGTGGGGAGTGCGAGCAGAGCAAGGGGCGTTATTATTCTGCGGTCTATCTCACAGCTCTCTAGTGGTCTATTATTTCTGATGAGCTGACACCTTCATTAGAATAGGAACCCGCAGATGAAACTAAAGTAAAACATCACACCGCTTAATTGGTGGGATAATAAAAATAAATGATAAAACTCTGTTTCCTTGGGGCTGTGAGGCCCCTTTTTCATCTTTTACCTTTTAATTTGACTCCCTGCATCCACTTAGGTCTGCTGTTTCATCGATCAATTACCGGGAGGATTACGGGGAAAGGGAAGGATTACAAGTTGGGTGAATATTGCAGAATAAATCTTGAATTAACTTTTAATACTTTGTGAAGGGCATTACATCTTCTCAGCTGAAAGCTTTTTTCAGAATGTTCTCTCGCTGATGTTGATTGAAAGATATGAAGGCTATATAGCGATATCATTTTGGCCGACGCGTGTGTGTGTGTGTGCTTTTCCTTTATATGCCACTAAATGTCATGTTTTCCTTGCGAAACGTGCGAGTATACTATTCTGTAGCGTCGTCTGTGCCTCTGCATGTGCGAATACCTCACAATATCTGTTCTTGTGATTGAGCCAGGCCCTCCCAGCCCTCCAGACTCAGTGACGGTGGAGGAGGTGACAGACAGTACAGCCCAGCTGGCGTGGAGCCCCGGCAGAGACAACGGCAGCCCCATCACCAATTACCTCATTCAAACCCGAACTCCCTTCACTGTGGGCTGGCAGAGGGTTAACACAGGTGACACAGTACTTGACGATAAATTTTCATCTTATAGCACATGAGATATTATTCAGATAATTCACTGATGTCCACAGGGAAATGCTGTTATTTCTCTTCCCCAGTTGGCAGGTGGGTCAGTGTATGGGGTCAGCTAGAAAAAAGGGTAGAGATTCATGTTCTTACTCAAGACAGTGAAAGGTCCTTCTTGCTGCTGTACTGTGCAAAAGTGTTGAGCGATCACTGATTCTTTCATATGTTGTTGAGAAAATTGGAAACATATATGAAAATATAAGTGTCATATTTCGGCTGTGTGCAGGCAGGAGAAGGACCCAAACGCAAAACTCACCACACAGGAATTAAACCCAAAAAGCTGCTTTATTGCAGAATGGCACAAAAACTATAACAAAACTAACCAGGGACATGGATAACAAAAACACAGCCATGAGAAAGACTACAACACTGACAAAGACACAGGGCTTAAATATACTGAGGGATAACGAGGGAATGAGACACAGAAGGAGAGCACAGCTGGGAGTAATCAGGCTGGACGAGACAAGGGAAGCAAAACTAGAAACACTGACATGAGACACGGACCTTCAAAGTAAAACAGGAAACACACTGACTGAACTCTAGACATGTAAACTTAACAGCAACTGGGGAGACAGAACATAAGAACCTAGGGAAGCCATATTACAAAACCTAAGAAATAAACTATGATAACCATAACTGAAACCTGGGGAAATAACAAACACAGTACAACAAAGGACTCAAAACATAAACCATAATATAAAAACACAAGAACTCAAAAAGCTGGGTCAGAACGACCCAGAACCGTGACAATAAGACAGTTTGTACAACTCTAATGAGCTTAAAAGTTGATATCTGGTATGATCGCCTCTCGTAGGCAAACCTTCTTGTCATTTCTTTAAGTAGTCTCCAGGAATAGCTCTTCCGGCTTCTTGAAGGACGTTCAAAGCTCTTCTTTGCATGTTAGATACCTTTAGATGATCCCACACTTGCTTCACTGTTGGGGTTCTGAGGAGACCAGTCCATAAATGATATTGTTTCATTGTGTGTTTTTCAATCCAGGTATGATTTTTCCTGCAATGGCAACTGCAAAAAGCCAATCAGCTTTCCAAGTGGTATTACATGGTGACTCAAAATTTTACTTTTCTCTGTTCATAATTCAATTAATTTTTGACAAGATCGCCAACCCCACTGGCTAAAATAAAGCCCCAAACCGTGACAGAGCCTCTGCTGAGTTTTGCAGATGGCTATAGACACTCACTGTTGACCTCCTTCTTACCCATCGATGACAATTTGAACCTAAAATGTCAAATTTGGACCTGCAGAGTCTCAATAATACCTGTAGGGACGCCTCCAGAATTTTTTCATAGGAGTGGCCATATGGGAGCCATTAAAAATATTGGGGTGGCACACCAAAAACAAAATTTCCAGTTTTATTATGCTGTTGTCAAATATAGAGAAAGGAATAATTATATGCCTGGTTAGTTTCCTGCTGTTAAAGTTGATATCACTGAAAATAGGTACATAAGAAACCCATATAAGATTTTGAAGTCCATAATAATCTGTTTTAACCGATTGATTGATTGATTGATTGATTTACTGACTAGAAGTCCCAACCACTGCTTTAATGATTCTCAACAGAGCTGAGCAGATGCAGATTAAGATTCACATTCCAAGAATGGAGTTAGGTTTAAGAGCAAACTTGTTCAGGAAAGACAAATAAGAAGTATTAGATCATGTAAGAGTGTGAACTATTGTTGATGTACCAGTGATCTGTGCAGGGATTGGCACCAGCTTTGCTGCAACCTGATATCATCATCATCATCATAGTTTATTTATATAGCACTTTAAAAACACACAAGGCTGACCAAAGTGCTGAACAGTAGAAATATAAGAGATACAATAAGAATAATATCTCAATGAATCAAATACCTGCAAATAATATTTTAAACAATTCCTATTATACTATTACTATCACACAGTCACTTAGGTCACTAGTTCTTTCTCTAGAAATAAGACTTGCAAACACCACACAGAGACCTTCATGTGTTTGAAAACCAACTATTTACTGGTACAAAACAAAATCATCTGGACTAATCAGATGGATCAGCTGAGGGCAGGATGCATCTCTCAGGTCTATCAGCTGGTGGATTTTTTTTCCTATTTCTTAAGGGCATGATTTTCAGATACTGTTCGTCTTCTGTAGATAGTTTCTTAGGCCTGTCACTTCTTCTGTCTTCCACCTGTCCTTTTAAGGACACTGCACACCACGTTGAGATATGTCAAGTTTTCAGCTAATAGCACTTTGGGAATCACCTTGTTGCTGCAAAAAATATGATTTGATGCCTGTCAAACTGTTATCTTTGGCATTTTTTGGAGATTCAACTAAAGAAATTATAACAAATTATGTGTTCTTATGACAGTCTGTTGGTAACAAAATATCTAACGATAAAAAATTTCCAAGTTGTCTGTAGAACACTGGTTCATCCCTTGATTTAGGTGGTTTTTTATGCTAGTGATAAGTGTCTTAACAAACAAAAAAACATATATATGGTCAGGTGCAAGGTCTGAACTAAAAAAGAGTGAAAAATCTGCCAGTGTCCAGTGGAGAACTTTGAAATCCTGGGGGGCTGTTGTTCAAGGCCACTTTAAAAATGACAAGAAAATCTGGCTACTTAGGAAAAATATAAAGAGATGAGGCTTATTTTGGTGGCTCCGTATTTTTTCATTATTACTTTTTCATTTTAGCCACTTTGATGACCTTCTGTGTACTCATGCTAAGTCAACACCAGCGTCCTTTTCATCTTTTCAAGTCAAGTCTGTTTTTGTCACAGCTTGGTCCTGAAGCATCTACACAAGCCTAATTTCTACTCCCATCCACAGCCATGAATGGATGAAAACATCATTTGCATATAAAATTGCCATTTCCACCAGAAGTTATTGGACATAGAAACAAAACAGCAAACAAGCAATTTCGTTGAATGTGAAACTGAGACACTCATCTGAGAAGTGGAGAAAAGGGAATGTGTTTTATTTGGTACCCTCAGCTTTGGAAATACAAACAGAATCAAACCCACTGAATGGGAAAAAAGAACTGAAGCTATCAACTCTGTTAAGTTCAGAGTAAAAGGACTCTAGCAGAAAATAAACAAAGAAAGAAAAGGCACTACAGACCAGAGGCAAGAGGAGTTTGGAGAAAGACAGACAGTCATTATGCACAGCTGCAGCTTTTTCCTAAGGTTTTCAAAATGTAACACTCAAAAAATGTTCTTCACCCTCAGTAGACATGAAGCAATAATTTTGATTAAAATGCAACTGAGATGCACAAAACGAAAGGTTTATTCATTCAAGTAATTAATCATTAAGGTATAAACTCAATGCATTGCAATCAAGTAAATTTCATTAATCCATTAAATGAAACGTTTTACATTGTACTTATGTGGGAAAACTTAAACATAGGTGCACATGCTGTCATTTTTTATTCGTCTCTTATAAATGTGAGTTTATATGAAAAAGGCAAATACCAGGCTTTTTCTGCATTCTTAATGATCTGGGTCCAGGTGTCTAGAAAAGGTTGAATGCATATACTGCAGTTGTTTTTATTAGTTTACTTAAAAAGGGTAAGGCTTATAATAATAAACAGTATAAATAATAACAATTATAATAACAATAAATCAGCTGGGGTGAGCATAAAGGCGGATTTTTACCAGTCATGGCAGATGGCCGGCCCTTCCTGCGCCTGGGTCGGCTGGAGGTTTCTTCCTGTTAAAAGGGAGTTCTTCCTTCCCACTGTCAACTAGTGCTTGCTCATAGGGGATCGTTGTATGTGTGAGGCTTTTTTTGAGACAATTGAGTTTAACTTAAAAGTATATTGTACAGATTTTATATAGAAAAGTTTGACCTAAATGAGAAAGTAGGAATTGCTTCACGGTAAAATTCCTGTAATCAAATTTTTACCAATCCTGCAACTGTTTGTAACAAAAAAGGGGCATGATGAATTGGCAAAGTCAAATGCTGATCACAGAACTTTCTGAGCACTACAGAGCTTGTTCTGGTTTTCTGGACTGCACCTGTTTTGCTTCCCTGTTATTGGTTTTATCCAATCTCATTATGGCTAAAACAGTCCTGTAATTTAAGTAAAAACGGTGTAAAGGCTGCATTTCACAAAAAAACAACTGCTTGGTTAATTCGGTGGGGGAAAAAAATCACATCTAAAAAGCTTAGATGTTTCCCTCCGGAATTAGCTGAGAGCAAAGCAAAGCTAAAAGGAGAGAAAACACTGGAGAGCAACACAACTGAGAAATCACTTATGATATCTAACATTGGCCTGTATGTGCTGGAGGTGTACATTGGCAGCTGTTTGCTGAGAAGCTGCGTCAGGCTGGCGACCTGTCCAGA